TCAAGACGCTCTGGAATGAGATCTATTTCTAGAGTCAAATGAACTTAGCGAAAAAGAAAGGGAAGAAGGTAACTTAAAGGAGTGAAACCGTGTGGAGCACAACAAACCAACTACATAGGAAGAACTCCAGCTGTTTGGAACACTCCCTCCTTGTAGCAGATTGTCCAAACAGACCTGATTTATTGCATGGAAAACAATGGGGTTCTTCCCTCAAACGAAAATAAAAATACCAAGGAATGCCTTGCTACCAGAGCTTTCAGTTTCATTAAAAGACATTATAAGAAATTATAAGGATGTGCATATTCTTCAGAAAGCTAATATGTCACTTTTTTGCACAATATTACTTTAAGGGTAGTTTGGCATATATTGATCTATGTTTTGTTTCTTAAAAAACACCAGCCACATGGGAACACGCCCAGCTGGGGAGCTAAGGGGACACCCTAGCTGGGTGGAGGTTCCCACTAAGGGGTGCACGGGCTGGAATGGGGCTGCGTTCTGATTAGGATATAGTTGTAGTTTTTTGGCACAAGTGTGGACTAGGACTGGACACACTAAGCCAGGCCAGACTCCAACACACTCTGGTGTCCTGGAGGACCAGGCTAGATGTGGGATGGACTAGGCTAGGTCTCAACCCCTACTGAGCCATGTGTGAGCTATAAGTGGGTATGGACGAGCCATGGCTGGGCTGAAACATCCAATAGTAAGAACCAGATTGGGTTGAAGGCCAGTCAGGAAAAGCCACTGTTTCTGCTAGGACAGGAGGTGAACTGAGTAGTACTGGCTCATGGACCCCTGGTATGCATGAGATCGGGCACTGGGAGAGGTTCTGATGTAGGAGCCTGGGAAACTCCTCTGGCAAAACACAGACCCAGCAGGCAAGCGCAAGAAGCATGATAGGAAACAGCCCAGAACAGGCCATGGAAAGTTTTCCACTGGCATAAATTTGGCATGCATCGGGGGCAGACCAGGCTGAATCTGTTCACATCATCCACTGTCAAATCCAAGCACCAGAACAGAGTGTGGGTCAAGCCAGGTTGAGTCGCGACAAAAACTAGTGCACAATACAGAATGCCAATGTGAGGTTGCTTGTACTGGATGTGACCGCAGTACCAAATCAGCACCTGTGAGAACCAGGAAGGGAGGGGGCAGAGCCGGCAGGGTGAATATGGGGGGGTTCCCTTGCTGGACAGCTACTCCCACTGGAGGGCGTGAGCTGGGATGGGGGCAGAGCAGACTAAGCAGGGCTACAACACTTGTGGGCCTCATGTGGGTTAGATCAGAAAAACGTCAGGCTGGGCTGATTATTCCTACTGGTGCAAACAAAATTAGAGTGGGTGAGGATTGTTTGGGCTTAGCCACAGCACCAGCTGGCAGAAGCTGGCACTGGGAGCTAATTCTGTCAAGTTAAACCACAGAACCACCTGGAGAGAGCATAATCCGGGAGTGGGAGTGGCCTGGGAGAGAAATAGTGGGCTCCTCCCTCTTGGGTTACCACTGCCACTGGAGGGCACGAAAACTAGGAGAGGGGCTGGGGTGGCTAGACAGACACCCAACAACATCCATGAGGGCTGGATAGTTGAGCTGGTTAGATGGAACTGGGCTTTAATATCCATTGACATGTACGAAAGCTGAATGGGATGTAGGACAAACTGGGCTAGTCTGCTACACATACTGGCAAGCACGGGAATCAGGGTAGCGGGCAGGCCTGGTGGGGGTTATTATGGGTCTCTGACTAGGCTGCAGCTCCCACTGGTTTGTGTGAGGGCCAAGTGAGTGCTGGGCAGAACCAGGCTGGACTGCAACACCCGTTGGTTCCAGTGGAAGTCGGGGCTGAAAACAGAACCAACCCAGCAATCGCAACACCAGCTGATCATGACGATGGACTGTGCTGGGCCCTGTACGTGCTAGTACATACAAGAATCTGGTCTGGGAACACCTCAGACAAAGTTTCTTTGGAGATATCCCCAATCAAACTGCCAGACTCAGAACCCTAACCATGAAAAGAGAGAACAAGTCAATCAACCACCTCAGCTATACGTTGGCAGTGAAAAACTGTGCAAACGGAGACTCTATGATGGACTATGTCAATCAGTGGATTCTTCAAAGACCTCATCGGCTTGGAGTGGCAAGATTGGCAGCAATTCATAACTGTTGAAATATCAAAACCACTTGAGCAAGACCCTAGTAGCATGTCCCACATCAGGGACCTGGGGTGGGTGGGACCTGGATGGGCCTTCTCCCTTAATATCCCCATTTACCTCAGATACATGACGGAAACAATATGGAAATAATAGTCTTACCCACTTTCCTATAGCCCTTGAACCTTTTTACCCTAATTAACTATGTAAAGATTGCCAAAAATATAATTTAAAAAATGAAAAAAGAAAAAACCACCAGCCACAATCACCTTTTAAGTATACTTTTCTCCTTCTTAGGCCAAGAAAAGACTCAGTTTGGGGAAAATTTTTCTGAGAACGACTGCATTACAGGTATAGTCTCTGCTTGTGATCGTCTGCTTTTCCAACACTACATTGTATGCAGTGGTGCCATTAGGATTTTCACACTTGAATCTACACCAGTCTGGGCATCACTGCAGTCTTTGGGCTGGCATGGACTTGTCTGGTAAGGAATTTGTACAAGCAGTGATTTTTTAAATTTCTTATTGCTATTACCATTCATTTTTTTTATGGACTTCTTAAACTATTTTGACTATGTTCTGCTATATCCAGAATGGGTAGTTTTAGTTACTGACACAACTTTTCTTTTTCCTTTTAAGATTTATTAATTTTTATTGGAAAGTCAGATTTAGAGAGAGAAGGAGAGACAGAGAGGAAAAAGGAAAGATCTTTTACCCCCTGGTTCACTCCCTAAGTGGCCACAACAGTTGGAACTGAGCTGATTAGAAGCCAGGAGCCAGGAGCTTCCTCTGCGTCTCCCACACAGGTGCAGGGTCTCAAAGGCTTTGGGCCATCCTCAACTGCTTCAGGCCACAAGCAGGGAGCTAAATGCAAACAGGAGATTCATTTTCTGAAATTTTGTTCTCCATATATTCTAACCTTGTTAGAAAAAAAGGATTCAAAACTTGGCACAAAATATTACGGCCAGCTCTTTCCAAAGATGCCACGCTAAGGCACTGTCCAGCTCAAGGGTCACCTAGGTCTGGGAAGCAAGGATTATCTCATTCTGGCACTCCCCCCAGTGGCTGACAACGAACCGAGGCCTCAAACTGTTTCTCCTCTTGTGTTTGTATGGTGCAATCTGTGCGATCTTAGGTGCCCAGAAAACATAAAAATAAGACTATTTTGTCCTACATGAACATTTGTATGAAATTCACATTTTACTGTTCACCAACCAAGTTGTGCTGAATAGAGATGTTCATTGCATCAGGCACTGTCTGAGCTTTTGAGCCTTATTCATTTCTGAGTGCTTGCCTCTTGTTCTTATAATGCATTATGAGGGAAATTGCTGGGTAATCCTTGGGAGGTGCACCAAGCTTTCTTCAAATTCATGTACCGAGTCAGACAACCAGCTGGTGGGTGGCTGCCTGGTTTCTGAGAAAAGGCCAAAGAAAAGGCTTACATTTAGTCCAGAAGTAATTCTCTCTTCCCAGAAAATGGCCTGGAGATTGGATCACGCTGAACACCAGACCTGATAAGGGACAGCTTTCTCTTTGCATACAACATAAGCTCAAGATTAAATGCTTGAGCCCTGATCGGTAGGTTACAGTGGAAATAGCCTCAAGTCCAGTCCAGCCCCCTTCAACTTTCAAGCTCGTGCTAAGGGCCTTTTACCCTTACAGAATCTAACCTGCTTGTGGTGTCCTAACTTTTGGTAGAGGGGCAGTGCTGAGTGCCAGCTGGGCATGGTAAAGTCCGCACGCAGAGCTGGCCAAGACCCCCTGCTGAAGAGCAGTTGCTCTGCAGTACAGCAACCAGAGTGCGCCGACCACCTGCTGTTTCTTCCTGAGCCAGAAGATAAGAAACCTTTGCATTGTGAGAAAGTTACGTCCTAAAGCAAGCCATAGCAAGAAGGTGAACCGCCATACTGTGCTTAAGTGAGCAGCACAGCAGCTAATGCAAGCCTGGGATCTTGGGAATGAAACTGTGTTTGCGTTTTCTGTACCTGCTTCGCTGCTCTCCCTCCTCGGCCTTCTTCCCGAGGCCCCAGCATTTTTATGTGTGAGGGGTCATTCTTCACATCCCTGCCATCCAGTGTTTTATCCACTGAGGAAGGCGGAAATGAATTATGCCAGAAAGGAAGGGGCGGGAAGGGGGCTCTGAGACGAGCAATTACCCAGTTGGAGCGCTGGGAGAGTGTGTGACGAATGGAGATCCTACCAGAGTTGAGTGATGGACACCTGAGTCTGGATTCTGAATCCAGATGTATTGTTGGATGCTGCTCGGGCCGAGGAAGGGTTAAAGATGGCCTTGGCCTGGTACAGCCGGGCGGGGAGCTCAGCAGAGCTTCATTCCTCAAATACCAGTCTTTCAATCAGCACTCTGCTGATTTTCCTTTTATCAACATAGAGTCTGAGGTCAACTACACCGGAGCTCTAACCCGCAGCAGCTTAGGGAATCAATCACAACCTGGGTTGGTCTGCGGCATTGGAAAGGGCAAGCCCCACCTCCGCCTCCAGGCGCAGTCTCACCCTCGGGCGAGAACCTCTGGAACCGGGCTGGGCCCGTAAACCCATCCTACCGGGCTGGGCGGGCAGCGCCGCTCCTCCGGGAAGGGATTTTACGAAAGTTAAGTGAGCTCATCAAAATGCAAAGCACAGAGTGTGAAATAACCCTGGAGCTCTTTAAATGATCACCGTTATCATACATTCGTTTGTTATAACTGGAGGCGAAAAGAAACTAAACTGCAAACACCAGCCACGGGGGCGGGCCGCCGGGGAAAGTGCAATTGAGGAGGGGGTGGCCTGAGAGAGCCCTCCCCAGCAGCCAATCCAGCGGTGGCGGGGAGGAAGAGGAGGAGCCAGGCTGCCCCAGGACTCAGCTCGCTCCCGCCTGCCCTCGTGTTCCGCAGCAGCGCCTTGCCCAGCGCCGACATGGCTTCAGGCGCCGCCACCACCGCTGTGAAGGTAAGGTGAACCGTCTCTCCGGCTGCGGCCCACCTTGCCCGGTGCCCTCCGGCCGCTGCTTGGGGCACGGCGCCTCGGCTCGCTCCTCCTGGCCGTCTGCACCCTCTGGGCGCGGCGCCGGGGCCGAGTGGCCCTTGCGGGGAGAGGGTACCCCTGCAGACCGATATCCCTCCCCCCAGCACCACCACCACCTTTAGGGTCCTCTGCGGTTGCACCTCGCCGGTCGTTGGCAAGTCCTTTGGATGGGGGACTGTGGGCGCACGGGTGCTGCGACCTCGCCGACACGCGTTGCGGGCTCCGCTTCTCGCGTGAGGCGCGCTGGCTACCGCCAGCAGGTGTCCAGGGTGGCTGGGCGCCAGGAGCAGCTAGACCGTCAACTCGCGCCTTTCGGAACTCGGGCTTCCGCCCTTTGCCTCCTCCAACCGCGGTCCACGTGGGAGAACTGCGTACTTGCTCTTTTGCATGCTTCCGGCTCTTTCTTCGAACTGAACGCCTTCTCCTTGCTCAAGTTTTTCCCTGCAGCGCGGTGCTGTGGGCGTTCTCTGCGTTTGTTTAACACCGGGAAGGAGTCCTGGCTCCCTTGGTTCGGGGCTGCTGCCGGCCTGGAGGCCCGTGACTTGAAAATGCTTTCTTTGCTCCCTTGAAAGTTACCGGTCAGTGCTGGCGCTCCTAGGCCCTCAGGGCAACCCTGTGTGTTGGGGGAATTTGTTCGGGGAGGCCTGGGAGCTTCAGGGAGCTTCCCTAAGGCTTTAAAAAGCAAACACACACTGCTTTCCCTGTTGTTGGGAGAGAGTAGAATTAGGAAGCATGGCGAAAATGCTTGGTGGAGAGTTGTTGCAGTCCCTTTGGTAGGAATTTTTCTTTTGCCATTTGGAATCTTGCAATCAACAAGCTATCGAAGACCTGCAGTATTTCCAGAAGGCATCTCCCTGGGCAGAAAGCTTTCATGAAACTCATTGCAAAGTGTATCTAGTCCTGTTAATGAAGAGGGCGAGTTTCACTGCAGAATTTGCTGGTAGGGTTAGAGCTATCGCTGGCCTGTATTGCCACCTTATCAGACGATGGTGCTTCTGAGTAGGGGAACTAAAATCCGTTTTGGATGTTTCCTTGTCCAACAGTTAAGTGATTTAGCCACAGGTCTTTGCCTTTCTCTGTCCTGTAAGTTATCGTTGGAAGCAGAGGCGTGATATTTTCACATTGGCTCCCTTTGGTCTGGTGGCCATTCTCCCTGCCACGCGGCTCTCTGAAAGTAATGCAGTGATTTAAGTGCAGAATGGGACTAAAGCCCTGATGTAAATATTGAATGATGTGTATTTTGGGTCTTAGCAAGCTGCTGCATTATTAACTTTTTAAGAGACACAAACGTGCTAGAACAGCCAGCTGATTTGTCATTGGGCCGTTGGGAATCCTGGATGCTGGAGCCATATCCTCTGTGAAAAACCCAGTGTTGCTGGCCAGAGCACAACTGGCTGGTTCGAACCGCGTCTCATTGGCAGATCACTGAATGGCAAAGCCGAGCTGTTCACTCGAGACCAGATAGCCACATACCCCCCTAGGCAGCTAGAAGCTGAGCTCCAGGAAGGTCAACCAAGGTGTCCAGGACTAGGCAGCTGGACTTAAGAAAGATGTGGGCTTAGAACTCGACCTTCCACTGGGTACTTGGGAGGCATTTCTGGGATCTGAAACTTAGCCCTAGGCTGATTTTTTTATGAGGAAAGACGTCATGCAGCCGTAAAGAGGCGGAGTACGCAGGAAGCAAAGCAGGCTGCTGAACCCATTTCCATCCCTGCAGAACTGCCAGTCAAAGGAAGCACATGGTGTGTCTCGGCCCCATTTACAGCTCTGGCAGGTGCCCCCGTTTCTTCCAGTTGTTTACAGAACAACAGTTTAGTTGGAGGTGTAGGAGTAGGGGATGTTGCTGCTCAAATCAGAATGGTGAAGGGAGCTGTGGAGCCAGCCTCCTGTCCCAGCACCACGTGCTCAGCAGCCCCCCATGTCATGTACCTTGGTCCTGTGCTGTGGGTGAGCACCAGTCACAACTTCCCTGAGAGGCTGGAGTTGCTATGGTAACGTGAGACACAAAGTGTCCCAGCTCCGGGCACTCTGTTCCTGTCAGCCACAGTGCCTCCATTTTTAACAAACCTTACCAGGCCTTTGGAGCTTAAACTGATTCTCCTTTTCCTGCCTGAGAATTCAGATGGAAACACCATCGGGTTTGGGGTTGGCAGGCTGGTGTGTGGTCCGTCACTCACACCTAGCCCTCTGCTGGCGGACTCAGCCAAAAGCGTTTATTGGCTGCTTGCCAGCCACTGGGGATGCACATGTTCAGGAGTGAGACAGACCCTCTTCTCTTCCAGCCCGAATTCCAGTGGGTGGAGATGACCAGAAAGTGAAGCAGAGGGAGAGTCGGTGGGGATCAGAAAGACCTCTGGGCTTAAAACTAATCATCGCCAGCTGGCATTCAGAAGTGAGGACTTTGCTGAGTGATGAGGACATGGGATTGAAGCCCCCGTGAATGGAGCTGGTGCCCTTATGAAAAAGACTCCTCAGGGCTGGCGCCGCATACTCATCCTCCACCTGCAGTGCCAACATCCCCTATGGGCACCGGTTTGTGTCCACTTCCAATCCTACTCCCTGCTAATGGCCTGGGGAAGCAGCAGAGGATGGCCCAAGGCTTTGAGCCTTGCACCCACTCAGGAGACACAGAAGTTCTGGCTTCACATGGGTGCAATTCTGGCCATTGCAGCCATTTAGGGACTGAACGAGCAGCTGGAAGATCTCTGTCTCTCCCTCTTTCTATGTAACTCTCGAATTTCAAATAAAAATAAGTCTTTCCCAAAAGAGAGAGAGAGACCTCACTCCGGAGGGCTGGCTTTTTCCCTCCCTCACCATGTGAGCCACAAAGCAGGCTCCCACCAGACTGAAGGTACCTTGATGTTGGGCTTCCCAGCCTACGAACCAAGAACTAAATTTCCAGTCTTACAGCAGCCCAAGACAGGCGGATAGCTGGGAGGAGAAAAGGACTCCCCCCCAAAAAACGGGAAGAAACAAGGGTGAGGACTACTGGGAACCTGAGTCCCCAGTCATAGGGATGGCCGTCTCGCTGCTGCTGCCCCCTGAGCACTGGGTGACTGGGACTTTCTTGTAGACCCTGATGAGGAAGTTGGATTTTTTTTTTTTTTCCCTGAATGTTGTCATAGCCATTCAAGGGTTCTGAGCAGAGAGGTGGCGTGTGAATAACATTTTAAAGTGATTTTTTGACTGCCATTTTTAAAATAGCTCATGTAGGGGAAGAGCTGGCTCTGGCCGGAAGCCATGGTGCTGGTTCCTGAGTTTAGGATGACAGACGTGAAGAGTGCGGGAGGAGGACCAGGATGGTTTCTGGCTGTGACCTGGCGAGTCCACAAGCTGATAATACTGCTGGTGGATCATTGCACAGCAGCGGAGGGACTCTGCAGCAAAGAAGGACCAACCGGAGGAGTCATTCCTCTAAGCACCGGCTGGGGCGCCAGGGACATGAGATGCCAGGAGACCTCTTACTGTGAGAGTGGTGTGCATGGCAGGTTCAGGGAAGGAAGAAGCTCTTTCCTTCATGGCCCCCTCCCTCACTCCTCTCTCCATCTGTTCCCTCTGGTCTAGTTTCCCTCTCCTCTCTTCCCTCTCAAATTGATAACAAACATGTTTTCTGTGGTTCAGTGCAGGGAGAGGTGGTCCAACCAGGGAGTGAGGCTAGCACTGTGGAGGGAGCTGGAGCTGTGGGGTTAGCACCTGCTGTTGTCTGGGAGGACCTGAGCCATTCTCCGGCCTCAGTCATACGGAGGGCCAGCTAGGTCTTGGCAACCAGGTGGAGGGCGTTCTCGAGGGTTTCTTTAGTGCTTCATCGCTCCCCCAGGCTGCTCCCCACATTCCACCTGTTACTTTGGGAGATTTTTTTTTTTTTAAATAATAGCTCTTGTTAATCATGGTCGCTATGACAAGGAGGGGATTGGGTCCAGTTGTGGGTGGGTGCCAAATTATAAACAGTGGCAATAAGGGAGGCAGAAGTTGAAGTGTCTGCCTGGTGCGGAATCAGCCTTTAATGCTCTTCTTTTGGTGCTCTTAAGAGTGGCTGGCGAAAGCTTTCAGAAAAGTCCTTCTGTGGTTCTGTGACACTGGATACAACCCACAAGCCTCAATTGAGAATGCAGTGAACAAGCCTTCATTCTTCCCGTAAAGATTGATTTGTTCATTTAAAGAGTTATGGAAAGAGAAAGTGATTGAGATCTCCCATCTGTTGGTTCACTGCCTAAGTGACTGCCATGGCGGGAGGTGGACCGGAACCGGAACCGCATCAGGGTCTCCCACATGGATGCGGGGACCCAAGGACCTCTGCCATCTTATGCTGTTTTCCTGGGCGCATTAGCAGGGTGCTGGATGGGGCTCTTGAGCTTATACTCTGGAGAGCAGCTGCCATTCAGGCTGACTGCCCCAAGGCTGCAAGGGGCTGGGACCTAGGACCACACTCCCCTGGGCCTGTGCTCCCCCTCTGAGCAGCTGTCACGCAGGCTGGCTGCCCTTGAGGCACAAGGAACCTGGCCCTTTGCTCCTGGGAGCCTGGGGATGGGGGCTTGATGGAGGGAAAAGGAGATGGTGCTGACAGGAGGAACCAGCCTAGGGATCTCCCCACGTGTTGTGGTCTATAGATTGATCGGGGTGAGAGATTGGGAGAGGAGGAGATGTGTGAGAGGAAGACGGCTGAGGGAATATATTCCAGGCAAGGAATGACTTTGAAGGGAATCCCATTGACAAACTTACTTGTAGGTAAGTGAGGGCACTGAGACTGAGCAGTTCGGAGGGTGGAAGCTGCAGGAATTTTGTGGGTCAGACAGGTACACCAGCCCACATAGGAGATTCCAGCTGGGCTAGTTACCATGTATCTCAGCCAGCCACCACCCAACAATGCACACTAAAGCTAGGGCTGGGGGCCTACTGGCAGGGCCGGATCACAGTTCCCAGCAGTG